ATTATCCAACTAGGTAACATTATCAGTGTTAGAAGGGTGTGGGGTCTGGAGAGGAGGAGGAGAAACTGGGGGATCCTTGGTGCTCTCCTGAGTACGGTGGTTTTCTTGCGGGACGTTTCATGACCCAAACTAGGTCACATCCTCAGTGTTAAGAGGGGAGGGGAGCTTGCAGGGGGGGTGGGAGAGGAGGAGGAGGAAGAATATGGCCTCCCTGGTACCCTCTGAGCTTGGCTCTTTTTATTCAGGGGTTTCATTCCCCAGACCAGATCACACCATCCCTGCTGGCCCTGAAGGGAGAGAGGGAAAGGCCAGGCTTCCCAAAAGCACCTCCCAGAATCCATCAGGAAAGCTGAAGTACCCCAAGCGCGGAATCTAGCTCATTTCCCTCTCCTTGGGACATCCGGTCCGGGGTAGAAAAGGAGACCCCTCCCTGCTTCTCTTGGGGGAAAAACAAAACACCCTTTTTGAGCCCAGAGTGTTCTACTTACAGTATTATTACAGTATTATTATTTACTTTTGAATGTGTAAATAAGAGCAGGTTTCGTATTGGCTCACCGGGAATGCAATTGAGCTTTCTAAACTTTTTTGGTGCGTGTGTGTGTGGGGTGGGGGTGTCATTTGCTAAATGGGTAAACCAACCCTCCCCTGCTGAGGAAGGGAGGAGGGGGGTGCAGGAGGGCGCCTCAGTTCCCTGATCCTTACCCACTCGGTAGGACCAGGGGGTCCCCTGGGGTCCTTCACATTCCCAGCAACGGCTGCTGCAAATTCTCCGAGCGCAAGGATGGGTCTCATCATTGGACACCGGGGCGGGGGGGTATGATATTGAAAGGCCCCCAAGCCCCCTCCCACCCCAACGGAACCCCAGGACGAGCCTTCTCTGTCCGTTACCCTCCCTTCATTCCTGGGGAGGGACTCTTTCCCTCTCCCCCCAAGGGCCAGACTTTAATAGATCATCAGAGTTGGAAGGGGCTTTGTAGGTCATCTAGTCCAACCCCCCGCCCTGCCCAAGCGGGAGACCCCACACCTTTTCTGACAGATGGGAGTCCAGTCTCTTCTTGAAAGCCTCCAGGGATGAAGCTCCCACAACCTCCGAGGGCAACTTCGGTTCCCAAAGCCCCTACAGGTATAGGCCTCAACTTATGATCACCACTGAGCCCGACACTTCTGTTGTTAAGGGAGCTTGGCCCCCATTTTACGGCCTTCCTTGCCTCCGACGTTAAGTGAATCACTGCGGTCCAAAAGTTAGCCATCCGGTTGTTAAGTGAACCCGGCTCCCCCGTTGACTTGGCTTTGTCGGAGGGCGGCAAAAGGGGGAAATCAGGCAGTGGTGGGATTCAAATAATTTAAGAGCCATTCTGACTCGGGAGGAGCGAACAGCTGACAGGGAGCGGGAGGGTGTGGCTCTGTTGGGTGCGGAGGAAAACTGGGGAAGGGCAAAGTCTGGCTGGGCAGAGCAGGAGAGAGGTAGAACAAGGGAGAGGAAGTTTAGAGGACGACCCAGGCCCACCCCCTCTTCATCCTAGGGCACGCAGGGAGGAACGGAGGAGGGAGCAACAAGAGTTGCATGGCTTATGGGGGAGGAAAGGGCCCTGATTCCCTTCATTAGCCACAGCTGGGAATGAGAGTTTAAAAGAAATGCATGCAGCAGCTTCTGGGAGCAAATGTGAGTTTATCTTGTGTTGACTTTGGTCATCTGTGTTCCTGGCGTCTTCCCAATTGTGTTGAGTTATTGCCATGCCTTTATGCCTGGAATTCTTGCTCTTGCCCTGTCGGACTAATGACCTCATTTTGCCTTGATTGGACTTAAAGTTACAGTTTGTGTTGACTATGTTTTGGACTGAATTTCCTCTACTTAAAGGCTGTTCCTGGGAGTTTTTCTCCAGCCCAGAAGGTAAGCTGGACGTTGGGGGCAAAGTTGGCGCTAATAAAGGGATTCCTACTGATTATCTGACTGGGTTGCCTTTGTGATGATCTTTGGGTCATCACAAACCAGTTCTCTGCCCTGATGGTTTCTTCCAACTGCTCAGAAAAGTTAACCACTGGTTCTCCCAAAGTGGTGCCAACTGGCTAAATCCCACCACTGGGATCAGATGACCTTGGGACGCCGCAACGGTTGTAAAGTATGAACCAGTTGCCAATCATCTGAACTTTGATGTGACCACAGGGGAGGCTTGCAAAGGTTGTAACTGTGAAACACAGCCGTAAGTCACTTTTTTCCGCCCCAGGGCCATTGTAACTTCAAAGAATCGCTGAGCAAATGAACTGTTGTTAGTCAAGGACTATTTGTGGATTCTGCCCAGCGTCTCGCAAATGGGCAATGGGGTCGGGCACTTCCTCTTCCCAACAAGCCAGAGACAACCAAATGAAAGCCTTCTGCAACCTGGCACCCTGTGGGGCGGGGGCGTCTTCCCATCCCCATTCAGTGGGTGGGGGAGGGCAGTTCCAAACAACCAAGGATGCCCCAGCTGGAGAGAGATTTGATGGGAGAGGCTGGCGTAATTTGAGCCGTGGCTGGCGCAGAGCAGAGGAGGAACCGAATTCGCCCAAAGGAGACCTACAGATGGGTGGCCTGCAGCAGGACAGGAAGAGGGCAGGGACAAAACCTGGGGCTCATCTCTCTGCCAGGCAGGGGTGCCAAAAGGCTGGAGCGCCGCTTACCCTTAGCGTCCTCAAGGATTCCGCCAGTTCACTGCTCAGCTGCACGTCCACATCGGGTTCTTCGTACCTGCCAGGAAAAAGATGATATAAACAGGGGGGCAGACTTTGCTTTCTGCCACCCGCTCCTTTTCTCCCGCTGGGCGTGCCCATCCAAGCCCTTTCCTGCTCTCGATTTATTTCTTTTATTTGTAAAATTTATTGGCTGCCCATCTTACCCCAGGTTGAGTAACGCTGGGTGGCTTACAATCTTAAAAAAAACCAAAATGCATCAACAGAAAAACTAAAAGACGTTAAGTCGAATAATCTGAAAGAACCAAACGCTGCGGACCGATTAAAAGATGGGGCAGGCAGGAGGAGGATTTGGGGGGTGGGAGGAAGATGGGATCTGTTGTTTAGGGATCAACCACCTCCCCTGGGATGCCTTCCCCCACTGGAGGCCCAAGCTAACTGGCAGGACCAGGTCTTTAGCCTCTTGAGGGAGTTTGGGTGGGTGGGAGCTGACCTCATGCCGGGTGGCAAGACCTTCCACAGGGCGGGAGGGATGGCAGAGGCGGCTCTTCTCCTGAAGCCTGCCAGCTGGACTACTGAACTCATCTGAAAGGGACCTTGTGGGTCCTCTAGTCCAGCCCACTGCTCCAGCAGGAGACTCTATACCATTTCAGACAAGGGGTGGCCCAGTATCTTTCTAAAAACCTCCAGCGATGGAGCATCTACAACTTCTGAAGGCAAAGCTGTTCCACTGGGTCATTGTTCTGTCAGGAAATTTCTCCTGAATTCCAGGTTGCTGAGTTGAGTTTAGATTAGTTTCCAGCCGTGGCTTCTGGTGTCCCAAAGGTGCTTTTGTCCCCAAGAGGCCACTACGGGATATTTTTGATTTCCTTTGAAGTTTTGCTTCTCATCTGAAGAAGCTTCTTGGAGGGGAAGTGAAACGCCTTCCAAGAAAAAGGACAGAAAGTCCAGTTGCCTCTTGAAAAAAGCATCTTTCGGACAGCCATGACCTGGATGACAGAGAACCTCCACAGACTTGTGGAAATAAGTCGATTCCCCTCTTCTTTGGGGCAGCCCACAAAGAATGGTTGCAGGAACTGGGCCTGGTTAGTCTAGGGAAGAGAAGGACCAGGGGAGACAGGAGAACAGCCTTCCAATATTTGAGGGGCTGCTCCAGAGAGGAGGAAGGGGGTCAAGCTATTCTCCAAAGCACCTGAAGGCCAGACAAGGAACAATGGATGGAAACTCAACAAGGAGAGATTCAACCTGGAAATAAGGAGAAACTTTCTGACAGTGAGAACAATCAACCCATGGAACAGAAGTTGTGGGAGCTTCATCCCTGGAGGCTTTCAAGAAGAGATTGGACTGCCGTCTGTCAGAAATGGTGTAGGGTCTCCCGCTTGAGAAGGGGGTTGGACTAGATGACCTACAAGGTCCCTTCCAACTCTTGATTAAAGCCCCTCAGGTACTGGAACCCCGCTTGTCCTTCTCTTCCACTGCCATACCCAATTCCTGCAACCATCCTTCCTATGTTTTAGCCTCCCGTCCACCTTTGCCCCCCTTGCTTACTTGAGCCTGCCCAGCCGCTTGGGCTGGACGGCCTCCAGTTTCCGCTTGGCTTCGCGCCGCTGCTTCCGGCGTTGCAGCTCGGCCTCCCGCTGCTTCAGCTGCAGCCGGATGGATTTCAACTGAAAGATCTCCTGTTTCCTGAGCCGGGCGGCCTTCTCGGAGACCTGGCGGGCTTTCTGTGCCGGGAGAAGCGGGGGGAAGGGAGGGGGGAGTCAGAGGGGGTTGGGGGCAGCTGGGGTTTCCTTCAAGGGACTTGCAAGCCTTAGGGCTGCCGCCTCCTCCCAGCCCCTGCCGGCGTGCTGTGGGGTGGGTCTCAGTGGGTTCCCACAAACTGGCATCTTCCTGGCCTTGTGCGGAGCTCACGCAAAGGCAGCAGATGGCAGCGCCAGATGGCGGGCCGTTTTGAGAGCCACCACGTCCTCGGCACAGGGGCTCGATGAGCGCCGGTTGGCCAGCAGCCCGGAAGGCAACCCTGGAATGGTGCGGCATTGTGGCTTCAAGGATGGCTCGGAAAAGGAATCCCTGCCCCGCCCGTCACACGACCACGCACAACAACGCCGATGGTCCCGAAGGAAACAGCGGCGAGCTTAGTTTAGTGTATTGCCCTTGCACCTCGTACGACGAGGTCAAACACCATCTTCGGTGCACAGCATGACCACGAAAACGAACACAAACACACATCCTTCACACTCTACACGTTGAACCGAAAACCCCCAACACTGCACTATAGAGCAGGATTCAATAGAGTTACTTGCCCTGGGATAGAAGCTGTTTTTTCAGCTTATTTGTCCTTGTTTTTATTATTATCCTGTACCGTCTGCCAGATGGTAATAGTTCAACGCGCTTTTGAGCCGCTCGGAAAGGTGGAGCGGCTACCTTCACCGGGAAGCCCAGGTAAGCTGGGAACTATGGGGATTGTAGTCTTAACCCTTCTAGAAACCGAGGTTGTACAAAGCAGATTTCCCTGACCCAGAATCTCCATGGGGTAGGCCAGGGGTTGGCAATCTGTGGCTCTGGAGCCGTGTGTGGCCTTTTCATCCCCCTGCGGAGGATCCCTGTCGCCGGTCAGTAAAAGGAAAAAGGATACCGCACTAGGAGACTCTATGGTGGGGGAACTGGACTTCCGGTCGCCTCCAGAATTGAAGGGGGGGGGGGCTTTCCGGTTAGGACCGTTGTGGCTCTAAGGTTGCCGACCCCTGGGCTAGGCGAACTCACCAACTGCTTGGCGGCTTTTTCTTTCTTGCGTTGCTGTTCTGTTTTCTTTTCTCGGACCGCCGTTGCTGTGAGGAGACGGGAGGCCTCGCCGGAGGCTGCCTGCAGATCCTCCTCTGGCGGCCTGGGTGGGCTGCCCTGCCCTTCCTCGCCCTCCGAGTCCTCTTCCATGAGGCCCTCGCACTGCTCCCGAAACACCGACTCCTGTGCAAGGGGGCAGGAGAACAGAGGAGCTGAAAGGGAAGCCCCAGAGGGCGGGGGGGCGGAGGCAGGCCCCTGCCCACTCAATCTAGCCCCTGGGATTCATCGAGACCAACAGACTCGCAATGAACGGTGTGTGTCCCATCTGAGCCGCCGCAGTTTTCAAAGGCCTTCACAACCCTGCCCAGAAGCCCAAGGGGAGCCCAGCTGTGGGGCTTCCAGGCACATCACGGCCCCACAGCCCGACTTGCGTTGGCAAAGGTGAACGCGAAGCGTCCCAGCGGTTCCTTCCACACTTGGGTGATTCCCATCTAGAGACGTTTTATTTTCTATTTTGCCTTCGTTGTTTTTATTTAACAACTCAAGCCTGTAAAAAAAAAAAACCTGAGAGGCAGGCAGTTTGGTCTAGCGGTTAAGGCAGCAGGCTAGAAACTGGGCCTGAAAGCCGTCTGGGTGACCTTGGGCCAGCCCCTCTTTTAACCCAACCCACCTCACAGGATTGTTGTTGTGGGGAAAATCGGAGGAGGAAGGAGCATTAGCTACGTTTACCACCTTTTGAGTTATTTGTAAAAATTAAGAATAAAGGTGCTCATCGCTTTGTAGTCTGCAAAACTGCCCCATCCAGAAGATTGGGTGGGGCCGGGGGTTGAAAAGCTGCCCCAAGATCATTGAACTGAGGTTACAGTTAGAAACCATTCCTTGAAATATGACCCCCAGCCGCTGTAGATTATCTTCTTCCGCACGGCTGCTCTTTCTTCCTCCAACATTTAAGTGGGCCCGAGTCTCCAGCTTCCAGTGATGCCACCTCTTTCACGCCATGCCCACCCAGAATAGGCCAATCCTGTTGTCCCCGTCGGAATTGTGACCCCGCCCCCCCGCAACGTGGGAAAGCCCTTCCTCCAATCGCAGTTTGGTCTAGTGGTTACAGCATCAGGCTAGAAAATGTTGTGAATTCAAGTCCTGCCTTAGGCAGGAAAGCGGTTTGGGTGACTTTGGGCCAATCGCTAGGAGACTGGGAGTTCTAGTCCCATTTCAGGCATGAAAGCC